TCTCTCTCTCTCTCTTCTCCTGTTGCTGACCGCTGTGGCTGTGGCGGTTCTGCATTCTATCAACTGCACTTGACTGGTCTGGCTCTCGCTCGTCCTTTGCTATTCCTAGGCCTCCCCCAGACTCCTTCTGGCCTTTCCTCCCTATTCTCATCCATACTCTCTTGTCTTGCCCCGTTTATAAACATCTGTCCCTGGACAGATCGGTTTTCCCTTCTTCCTCCTCGTCTCTTCTTCTCCTGATTTCTCCCCTCACCACTTCCTCAAATCCACCGTCACAATGTCGTGGAAAATCACTAGAAGTATGTAGACCCCCAAAGGTGCTTTGGTGTTTCTATTTTCAATCATGCAGGCTAACGGACGTTCTTTCTCATCTTTCTTGGCCGACAGAACTAAAGGAAACCCACCTCGCTCCTTTGACCCAAACCTTCGGGCGGTCGTCCTCTACATCCACCATCAAGGGTGATTCCGGCGAAGAGACTCCTGTGGCCTCGCAAACGCCCACGGTTTCACCATCCATTGCCAACGGGATCAGTATGTTTGCTTTTGCCCGCTGCTTTTGCCTCCCCCTTTCCCCCGATCGCCGACCGCTCTAACAGATCCTCTCGCTTTAGATGCCTCGGAATCGCTGGTCTCTCCGCCCGTGGCCCCTGTCAAGCCCGGTATTCTGATCGTCACCCTCCATGAAGGTCGAGGTTTCGCTCTTTCGCCTCATTATCAACAAATCTTCAACTCGCACTTCCAGAGCAACAATGCCTATGGCATGCGTCCCAGTTCATCCTCCTCCCACTCCGCTCATGGCCAAGCCGGGTCCTTCGTACAAAGCGCCCGTCCACAGTCGACGAGTGGAGGCATCAATGCTGCCCCCACCATCCACGGTCGCTACTCCACCAAGTACCTTCCTTACGCCCTCTTGGATTTCGAGAAGAATCAGGTCTTCGTCGATGCCGTGTCTGGATCACCGGAAAACCCCCTTTGGGCGGGCGACAACACTGCCTACAAGTTCGACGTTTCGCGCAAAACCGAATTGAATGTTCAGCTCTATCTTCGAAACCCTGCCGCTCGTCCAGGTGCCGGTCGCAGTGAGGATATTTTCCTTGGTGCTGTCAAGGTCCATCCTCGTTTTGAGGAAGCTCTGCCCCACGCAGAGGACCCCAAGAGCAAGAAGGACAACAAACAGCCACAAGAACGTCAGCTTGGTCAACTCGGTGCGGAATGGTTGGATCTTCAGTTCGGCTCCGGTTCCATCAAGGTTGGTGTCTCGTTCGTCGAGAACAAACATCGCAGCATGAAGCTGGAGGATTTCGAACTTCTTAAGGTCGTTGGTAAGGGTAGTTTTGGCAAGGTCATGCAGGTCATGAAGAAGGATACGGGTCGGATCTACGCCCTCAAGACCATTCGCAAAGCTCACATCATCTCCCGCTCCGAGGTGACACACACCCTGGCGGAGAGATCAGTACTCGCCCAGATCAACAATCCTTTCATTGTTCCTTTGAAGTTCTCCTTCCAGTCGCCGGAGAAATTGTACTTTGTTCTAGCCTTTGTCAACGGAGGTGAGCTGTTCCACCATCTCCAGCGGGAACAGCGGTTCGATATCAACCGCGCTCGGTTCTACACGGCTGAGCTTCTCTGTGCTTTGGAATGTCTGCACGGATTCAAGGTCATCTACCGTGATCTCAAGCCCGAGAACATTCTTCTCGATTACACTGGCCATATCGCACTGTGCGACTTCGGTCTGTGTAAGTTGGACATGAAGGATGAGGATCGGACGAACAGTAAGGACCCCCGGGGAGTACGCACATAATTCCAATTCGACTAACCAGTCCTGAAACAATAGCCTTCTGTGGTACCCCTGAATACCTCGCCCCCGAGCTCTTGCTTGGCAACGGATACACCAAAACTGTTGACTGGTGGACCCTGGGTGTCCTCCTTTATGAGATGCTGACAGGTCTCCCCCCGTTCTACGACGAGAACACGAACGACATGTATCGTAAGATTTTGCAAGAACCTTTAACATTCCCTAGCACCGACATTGTTCCCCCCGCTGCTCGGGATCTCTTGACGCGACTACTCGACCGTGATCCCCAGCGTCGATTGGGTGCCAATGGTGCCGCGGAGATCAAGTCGCACCACTTCTTTGCCAACATTGATTGGCGCAAGCTGCTCCAAAGGAAGTATGAGCCAAGCTTCCGGCCCAATGTGGTATGTTGAGTCACTATATCTTTACTGTTATCGTCATCGTATACTGACGGATGCAGCTGGGTGCTCGCGACACCACCAACTTCGACCGTGAATTCACATCGGAGGCCCCACAAGATTCTTACGTCGATGGTCCTGTTCTGTCGCAGACGATGCAACAACAGTTCGAAGGCTGGTCTTACAACCGTCCGGTTGCTGGTCTTGGCGATGCTGGTGGCAGTGTCAAGGATCCCTCCTTCGGAAGCATTACCGAGTAAAGGCCTTGTTGCCTGCCACCATCGACTGAACGTTCTTGAGGTGGACTCAACACAAACACAAGGTGACATCAAAACACGGAGAAGGAATTGTTTGAAACAATTTCTTCAATCTGTTCCCTTTCCATCTGCATATCCTGCCTGCGATGTAGCTCGGGTTTCTCTCATCATTTTCGCTGTCTTTCTCTTATCTCCTCTACTAGCACAGGGAGTACGTGAGGCTTTTTTGTCGAGACTTTTGCTTTTCTCCTCCATGGCAGTGATCCTAGTTGAGCGCTTTGTGTGTTCCTTTTTAACCTACATGGTTTTGCATCCAATACAATCGAGGCAGGTCCCTTTGGTCCATTTCTCAATTCCTGTCTTTCCCTACATTCATCGCGACCGTGTCTGTTCACTCTTGTCTCGAGTTCGTCTACTTCAGTGAAGTGTTGGGCCGCCAGGTATCTTCTACTGGAGACGCTCAAGCGGCAGAAGCAGCGACACGCCATCGCTCCTCTCTCTTCCGCGCCAACAAACCGGACTTCAACAGATCCCCGATATTCATCTTGGTCTCGGTCTATCCATCCTTTGATGCTTTTGACTTTGGTCTGCTGGCCTGATCCAATCGAACCTTGCTGAGGCTTCTTTTCTGTCTCCTTCCGGAGGAACTGGCGTCCATCTGGGATTTTCCGAGCCCAATTTTTGCCCACTGAACATCAAAAATGCATGAGTTCCTGTGTCAGCGGTCTCGACCTAGACATCTTGTTTTTTATTTTCCCTATAGCTCGATACCTTTCCTGCTGTTGCTTTTCGGTTTGATTACGTGGAATGGAGGGACGGGGAGAAAGAAAGAAATACGGTAGATGAACTTTCTCCTACTTTGTTCCCGCGATGTGACTGGCTCATAGACAACAATTGACTTTTTTTTTTGCCGCGGGCGCTGTTCCAGTATGACCCAATGCGTATGTTCTGAATGCCTAGATGTGATGGGTCTGGCGGCTGTAAGCAGCACATAGATACTACCTAGTAGACCATGATCTTCAACATACGGATGTTTGGCCCGATTGACAGTTGGGACAGGCGGAAAGCAACATCACGAGAAGACTATACTATGGAAGGAGCACAAGTGACACATAATATTGATTCATAGCGAACAGGTCTGGAAAAACAAATAGCTCTGTAAGGGGAAATTTGGATCAGAAAAGAGAATAGTGGAAGGGGGGGGGAATATCCCACGCAAGCAAGATTTAGCTATTTGACAATACATCTGAAACGGGGAATAAGCAGAATGGAAGGGGGAGTGTGAAACCAGATGGAAGAAACAGAAGAAGAGGGCGTTGTGGAAGCTTTCTTTTCGTCGCATAGGTCTCATCCTACGGCACAGTCCTCCTTGAGTTAAATACAAGCACAAACATACACACATACCATGCCACAAAAAAGCAATGACTCAAACAAGAAGGGTCTATCTTAAGCGGGATGGTCGGTAGAGTGGGGGTTTTTACTCGGATTTCTCTTGCGCTTCGTCCTCCTCGTCCTCCTCGCCCTCTTCGGCTTCATCCTCGGCAACGACCTCCGCGTCATCCGCCTCAGGTTGTACTTCGGGGGCACCGTTGTCTGCGGTCTCATCGTCGCCGTGGACGTCGATCAGGGACTCGGACGAAGGAGGCTCGGGGACGGCGGGAGCGGCGGCGCCGCCGCCCTCGGTTTCGAGGCGGATGTACTCGTCCCATTCGGGGAAGAGGTCATCATCTGCGGCGGCGTCGGGGGTGCCGGGGGGGATACCGATGAGGCGGGCGATCTTGGTCTTTCCGTTGGACTCCAGGGAGGCCTTCCACTGGGCGACGAGGGCGGGGGCCCGCGAGGGCTTGTAGGTCTGGGCGAAGAGGACGGATTCGGCGAGACGGTTCGTCCGCACCAGGAGGTCGATGCAGCCGTCGACGTCGCCGAGGGACCAGTAGGTGGAGAAGGCGACGTTGTGCAGGCCGGCTTCCGAGGCTTGGGCGGCCAGCTGGCGGAGCCCGTCCTTGTTGCCGCTGGCGGTGTGCAGCAGGAGAAGGGAGCCCACGTCCTTGGCATTGGTAAAGCACTCTTGAGCCAGCGCCAGGTTCCAGCCCGCGAGGGCGGCGTCTCCGACGATCTTCCACTTGTGCTCAACGTTGGCTTCGCGGGCGATCTCGAGAGCGATCTCGAGGTTGTTCAGGGCAAGGGCCAGCTCGAAGCGGTGTTCCGGGTCGGTGGCAACCTCGAGTGCCATCTCCTTGTACCCTTGGCCTTCCAGGAAGCGGGCCACCTTGTTCATCTGATCCTGGGGAACGTCCTGGAGCAGCTCCGCTGCCGTGTCCAGATCGCCGCGCAACACCACCGTCTGGTACTCGACCATGCTGAGAGACAAGCCGAACGATACGACGTTGACATCCTTGTCGGCAAGGTAGACGCGGCCGTCACGGGGCAGGTAGCCAAGGACATACATGCCCTGGTCGAAGTGGGAGACGGTGTAGGTTTGGTCACCGACCAGGTAGTTGAGGCGATTCGTCGAGTTCGTGTAGATGAAGCAGTCTCCAACCCACTGACCCGTGCGAACAGACTCGTTGACATCAGTGACAACCTCGAAAGCGGACTCCACGCCATCTTCGTCGGCTTCACCGGCGTTCAAGCCCTCGATGTAGTTCTCGCGGGAGTATCGGAGGACATAGAAAGAATCCTCACAGGCAAGAGTCACCAACTCTCCGGACTCGGACCAGTATACCTAAGTGAGCTGTTAGCGACAATCCACTGGGGTCATTTCAGTTCCTATTTCTTACAGCCTTTGGGTCGACTTCAATGCGGCGGACCAGGTTTCCAGTCTCCCAGTCAAACATGCCAATTCCGCCTTGACCCTTAACACCCAGCAATACACCGTCTGTGAGACCTTCGGCTTGGAAGCCTACATCAAGCCCGCCGCTGACTTCCTTGAAGTTCTTGAAGATCTTGACACTGGTGGTCGACTCGCGGATGGCATAGTCATTGCTATTGTCCTTCGAGCCCCAAGCGAAGTCCAAGGCTTGCCCGAATGCCTTGTTGCGCCACGCAAGAGCAGTGTAGATGATGTACTCGCCATCACCGCAGACCGAGACAAACCGTCCATTGGGGGAGTGGGACAGGGTCTGAGGGTAAACCTCGCACGATCCCAGCTCTTTCGTAGGCAGCGAAAGCGGTGCACCGTCCTTAATGCTAGCATCGCCACCCTTGATCACTGTCGAGACAACCTCATTATGTCTGGCCCAGATAATCTTTCCTGAGCCGTCCATGGAAACAGCTGGCTCTTCCCGTCCCATCTTCACTACTACTGCACCATCATCGAAACCAATCGCAACGCCTTGCCGACCTCGCTGGTAAGAGACACACCACGCTCTCTCCAGGCCGTAGCTTAAAGACTGTTCGAGTCTGTATGTGTTTGCATGCCAAATCTTGATAGTTCCGTCTTCAGAGCCGGAGATAATGACGGGCAGTTCCGGGTGATAGCAAGCAAAAGAAACGTTGCTTGTATGTCCCTCCAAAGTAGCAATGAGCGCTTTCGTAGTGTAGTCCCACACCTTAACGGTCCGGTCATCGGAGGTGGTGAGAAGGTATGGTTTGTCCGCCTGCGGGTAGTAATCGACATGGTTCACACCCTTGGTTTCGTGGGCCTCCAGGGTGAAATTGGCATGTGGCGAGCCAAGGCTCCAGATCTTTACGGTCCTGTCCAAGCATGCGGATGCGAATGTGTTGGTATCCTTGGGGTTGATTGAGAGTCCCATGACATAGTGGCTGTGGCCCTCGTAAACCTGGACACACTTCCAGCCTTTCTCCCAGTCCCAGAGCTTGATTGTCATGTCATCGGATGCGGTCAGAACGAATGGCTGCGTGGGGTGTACTACAATTGAGCGAATGTAGTCCGGGTGGGCCTCGAACGAAGCAATCTTCTCGGAGGTGTTGTAGTTGTAAACGCGGAGTTGGAAGTCATCTGAACCGCAGACAATCCAGTTCTTGCGGGCAATGAACCGACCGGCTCGTACAGGTACATCGGTAAGCTCGAAGGTTTTGATGATTGACTGACGATACGAACGTTTAGCGATCTTAACGTACGTGATGTAACGGTAGGGCAACTTACTTGAGTCTCATAGGACCAGATGTAAACGTGACCTATGTAATCGTATTAGCGCATTCGCAGCGATGGTCGACATGCTATTTCCCAACGCACCGCTGTATAGTGTGGTAAGGATCTGGGAAACATCAGCGCCTGCCCAACGTTACTCATGGCTAGAATACTTACCCATGGCTCTGTTGGATGGAAGTCAATGCCCTTCACCCGCTCGGAGCGGGCGAACAGCTGTCTCTATTCAGGAATAACAACAACAGTCAGCGGACTGAACATTGTTCGTAGACTCCGACACCAAACATATGCTATCTCTCCTTGGGCAAAGTCTGCATCTCCTCGAGGGTCGAAATCCATACCTTAACATCCAATTTCATCTTGTGTGGGGAAGGAAGGTCGCGATTATGTGCGGCGTCGGAGGACGGCCTGTGAGAAGGAGGGGGAACCAGGCCACGAGCCGCTCAAACAGCCCAGCCCGGGGACGTCAAGAACTCCCGAAGGAAAGATATGCGAAAAGCGCAAAGAGAAGAAAAAGTTCCTCAGCCTGAATGGCCTCCCGAGGTCAATGCAGATACTCAAGAAGTGACAGCGATGTGTCCACAAGGAGATGGGAATCCCGCCAGCTATCTGGAATCGGCTAGCGACAGGGGGAGACTCACCGCCTTTGGTTCTGGATCATCCCCCCTCGGGGGCCAGTCTTATGTCCACGACTCTGAACAATGCGCATGTAGAAATTAACTAATTCGATTTGGACGCTGTCATTACAGTTCCATATGTATGCCATGGCAGATCCTGCCTAGCATCACACCCTATCAATCATTATTCTGGACATTCAGCATGATAAGCCCGTTCAACCAGCGGTTATCAGCAATCCAGACACAATCCACCGGGAACCTTAGCTCATACAACGACTTATACATCATCATGCAATTGTGATTGGTTTTGATTGGACACACGTAAACTTATAATTACAAACAATGGGAATTCTTCAAGTCAAGTCTGTCGTTCATGAGAAGACCCTATTATGCCGAGCACTTACTCGGGGCGCTCGAAATAAGACCACTGGCCAGGTCTAGCCTTCTCCTCAAGTTCCTCCCAGCTGTGACCATATCAGTACTGCATTCCATACTATTGTTAGACCACCGACTTACGCTTTCGACTTGTACAACTCATCAACAACTTTCAGTTCACCCTCGGCGACCTGAATGATTTCCTCAATAAGACCGGCACCAATTTGCTGCTCAATTTCAGAGATCCTATAACCAAAAACATCAGCACGTTCCGCCCAATAAATCACTTCTGGGAAAGGAGATATCGGCATACTGTTCTGCCGTCAGAGCGGGCTCGGCCTCCCACTTCTTCTCCTCAGGGTGGAAGTCCGATTCATTGTTCTTGGGAGAAGAAGCCTCCTCCAAAAGCTGTGTGAAACGGGCTTCTTCTGCTGGTGTACGAGCGGGGCCTTCAGTGGTCGCCTCCAAGGCTTCACCATCCCACTCCTCTCCACGGGCATTGTCGCTGCCATCAAGGCGCTCAGCACCTGCGTACGTGCCGTTGGCTTGTAGAAGGCTAGAGAAGCGCTCGGGCTCATCACCCACGGCCTTCTTCACGCGCTCCAACCAAGCTTCAAATCCAGGCGGCTTCGTGGACTCAATGATCTGCAGACGGTGGCGGGTCAATGCCTCGGTGGACTGACGGTAGACAGAGGACTCAGGGAAGGACTTGAGCTTGTTCAAGGTCGATGTGTAAAGGAAGATCAGGGTGGGACGAGGGCTAGGGTGAGTGTTCAGGCCGGTCAAGCCGGTGGGAGCGAAAGGCTCCAAGTAGCGAGCCGGCTTGACATTGGCCAGCAACCGGAGTGTCGACCTCATGCTGGGCGGAGGGTGTGTGAGGTATTGAAAGGAATGAGAAAGACCCAGAGGGGCGTGTGGTATCAAGCCCAATGGCAAACGGCAGCGGGGTGACTTATCGGGTCGTTCATTCACGATGAGCACACTGAATCGGAATGGCTGCACGAAGGGTTGAGGTTCCGTCCCGGATCACGGAGGAACCTAGCCCCGAGCCTTCCTCCTGCGCCTCTTCCTCCTCCTCCGGCCATCATTTCAATGGTATCTGGTTAAATGGTAATCTTATAATAGGGGTGGCCTCCTTCTCGCCTGCGTCTTCTCCTCCGTCCGCTGGCTTGTCGTCCTATCGACGTACTCCGCGAGACATCTGCTGCATATTCTTGGAGCACCGAATTCTTGCTGATTGCCCCCTGTCTGAGTGGTTCCCCGACTCCTGGCGATCCACTCGTTTCTAGACCACCCGTCACTTCCACTCCAATGTGCCACCTGTGAACGGCCAATACCTGTTTTCTGATAACTTTTATCTTGACTCTCAGTATTAACCCCACTTCTTCTTAATAAGGACCTCAAAGGCTTCTTGTCCTTGACCTACAGCCAGCATGAGGGCGTCTTTGCTGGCATGGTCATTCCTTTCTCTCCTTTCCATCCCGACGTGGGCTACCTCCGCCGGTGATACTTCTCCCAAGCACCATCTCGCGAAGAGAGATGGCTCGACCGAGCCCAAGTCGACTCTCTTCAATGGCATCGAGGTTCCGCCTGTCAGGTCTTTGACCCCTGATGATTTCGACGAAACCGTTAAGGATGGTTACTGGTCAGCACACTCTTCAATGCGCCACGTTAGATTGGCCGCTCCAGGCTAACAGGCCTTTCAGGTTTATCAAAGAGTATTCTCCGTCATGTCCGCACTGTCAGAAGATTGCGCCAACCTGGCAGACACTCTATGAGTTCTACTATGTAAGTCGCATCACTGCAGTTTTATCCCCTACTGCGTATTCTAATTCTTCTCAGACCTCGGATCCTCTGTCCTCGTCCTCTGGAAAGTCGTCCGATACCAAGTCTCTGAACTCTTTCGATAAATTCTACAACTTCCACTTCGCGGAGGTAAATTGTCTTGTGTACGGGGACCTGTGCCGCAAGTTGGAGGTGAAATACTTTCCCACCTTCGCTTTGTATCACAATGGCGAGATGGTTGAGCAATTCACGGGAAAGAAGAGTATGCAAGGGCTGAGCGAGTTTGTCGAAGAGAAGCTGGAACAGATCAAACCTGGCTCTCGGCCTGCGCAAGGCCTGAACCTGCCCAAGCCGGGCGACACAAGTGTTGATACCAAAGCTCAACCCGACGCCCCTGTCGCTAAGGACAAAGACCCTGAAGCTGGCGCTAAGGCTGGAGAGAAGCACAATGAGCAGGCCGCGCAGCTTGCCGCTAGTGATTCTTCTGTTGTCAAGGATACCACGCAGACCAAGGCTAAGCCATCTGGTCCAGTGAACCCTCAGGGCATTTCTGTCCCTCTGACGGCGGAAAGCTTCCAGAAGCTTGTTACTACTACGCAAGACCCTTGGTTCATCAAGTTCTACGCTCCTTGGTGCGGTCACTGTCAGGCATTGGCTCCTAATTGGCAAGAAATGGCCAGAGAGATGCAGGGTACTCTCAACGTCGGCGAAGTAAACTGCGATGTCGAGACTCGGCTTTGCAAGGACGCCCGAGTCAACCAATTCCCGACTATTTATTTCTTCCGTGGCGGTGAACGGGTTGAGTACAACGGTTTGCGTGGTCTGGGTGATCTGGTCAATTATGCCAACAAGGCCGTGGAGATCGGCTCCGGAGTGCAGGATGTGGACGCTACCACTTTCAAGGAACTGGAAGAGAAAGAGGACGTCATCTTCCTTTATTTCTACGACCACGCAACGACTTCCGAGGACTTCAAGGCTCTTGAGCGTCTGACTCTTAGCTTGGTCGGACATGCCAGACTAGTCAAGACCAACAGCGCCGCCCTCGCTGAAAGGTTCAAGATTTCTACCTGGCCTCGTCTTTTGGTGTCCCGGGACGGCCGCCCAAGTTACTACAACGCACTCGCTCCCAAGGATATGCGAGACTTCCGGCAGATTCTGGGATGGATGCGGTCTGTTTGGCTGCCGATTGTCCCCGAACTTACGGCATCCAACGCTCGTGAAATTATGGATGGTAAATACGTTGTACTAGGTATTCTAAGCCGCAAGCATTCGGATGAATTCCTGCAGTCTAAGAGAGAGCTGAAGAACGCGGCTCATGAATGGATGGACAAGCAGGTTCAGCTGTTCCAGCTGGAGCGCGCCGAACTTCGAGATGCTAAGCAATTGCGGATTGAAGAGGCGGAGGACCGTAATGACCAGCGTGCGCTTCGGGCTGCCAAAAACATGCGTATCACCATTCGCGAGGACGACAAGAAGCAGGTCGGTTTTGCTTGGGTTGATGGTGATTTCTGGGAGCGGTGGCTACGGACACAGTTCGGTATCGATGTGGAGAACGGAGAGCGTGTCATTATCAACGACCAAGATGTAGGTTTCTTGCAGGTGGTACAAATACCACTCGTTGTGAACTGGACTGACTTTTTTTTAGAACCGACGCTACTGGGATACGTCCTCTAGCGGAGCATCCATTATGGCATCCCGCACTTCGATTCTCGAAACTATTCCTCTTGTGGTTGCCAACCCCCCTAAGCTCACACCCAAGTCTACCGTTGGCACTTTTGAGTCGATCTTCTTCTTCACTCGTTCGTTCATCAGCGGGCATCCGATTTTGTTCGTCATTATCTTGATCCTGTCCATTGTCGGTGCCACATTCGTGGCTCGAGGCAGAGCGGCAAGACGCGGAGGTCGAGGCGGTATTCTCGGTGTTGCTGGGAACTCTAGCGGTGGCTTTTTCAACCTCGATGGCAAGGAAGGACTCTTGAATGGTGGTTCCACGGGCAAAGTAGATTAAATTGTGAATCGGGGTGGTGTACAGTTAGCCTTTTTTATTCTTTTTCTATTACCCAATTTTCCTCTTCAATTATATTTTGGTGTCCTTTATGCTACAAATCTTGATGAACTGGGACTAGTCCCGCCCCCTCGTTTTTTTCACCTCGTAGTAGCTTGCTGGCACATACAACGAACTGGTAGACAGTCCCAACGCTCTTGTACTTTCATACTTCTTGGGTGCATGAGGTGTGGAAATGCGCGATATCTGATTCGACAAGCTGATAGTCACGTGAGTGTCAATTCGGCTGGCTGATTGGCCGCGGGCGGTCGGACGAGAACGTCGCGGAGTCTCCCGGTTTTCGTCGACAGCTTTCAACGTGTAATTGCAGCCTCATATCGTTTACTGGAGCAGAGTGTGCCTCCTTCGACCTCAAACAAAATGGTATGTACATGCCCTTGAATTGTCACTGGGCCGACAACTTCAGAGTCGCATGACATCAAGTTGTCGCATCCAGTTGATCAGTGGCCAACCCCGGACCCGGCTATGTCACGGTGATAGACTATGGAAAGGGATAACAATTGCCAATTGCTAATGTGAATCGTTGTCCGTGTAGGTTTTCTCTCAAACTCTTCGCCGCGCCGCGGCTCAGAACGCCGGTGGCTACCGTTCTCCCTTCGGTCCTAAGTGAGATATATCCCAGAATCGTCGTTACCTTCGTCCCAGCGCAGACATCAACCCTGGCACTGAACCGGCCCTGCGGAGCTCCGCTTCACTCCATTCAGCGATCATTGATATGGCAGGGCGTCTGGTCGATAAAGAGCTCCGCTTGTGCCTGAGCGGAGGATGACTCATGCCGAATTGCTGCATACACAGATTAGAACAGCGGAAGATGCAGGAGAGAATTACGGCTAACAGACTTACTCGATGAATCAGGTACTCGACTCCCCGCCACTGGCACGGTCTTACCACCCGGTCCGCTGTCACTGCGTGAGTGTCTTCCGCCTTTCATTCGAACGTGCCGTATTCGCGCCATTGTCAGAAACGGTAATAGCATTGCGAGAGCGTCGACTAACGTACGATCAAAACAACAGTGGTACCATTGCCAGCGGCTTCGGTGTCAGCGCCGGTGTCTTCCTTCTGTTCTTCTTCGGCGAGGTCCCCCGTGTCCGCCGTGACATCCTCCAGAAGGTCCCCTTCCTCGATGAGTACTTTGACCGCACCATCGCCCCTGAGGACAACGTATGTGGGATCCTATTTCATGCAACCAGCACGAATGCTAACACTCAAGCAGCCCTTCTAAATTATGTCCTTAATATCGAGACAAATGTTGTTTTTCCATTATACACAAGACCCGGTCACCCTGTACGGATATACCGCTGCATAGCTGGACAGCAGAAGAGACTTGAGGTGCTGTACGTGTAGAATAGCGATGAGTTTTTTATAGCACATACTAGAGGAAGCCTGCCCAGAAGAATTGTTCTCCGGTAATAACTAACTATTTTTGTCCGTGTCTGTGTCAATGTACTTTCACGACAGAAGTAGCTTCAGTTCTGGTCTCTCATGTGTGGCAGCAGAGGACTTGCATCTTAGACCATTCGTTCACTTCGATAAGTATTCTAGATTTGTCTCTGCAGGCTACGCACTTAGCCATTTAGCCGGTCTCTCAACACTGGCGAGTGCTTTGACATATCTAATCGTCTCAAACCAGCAACGAAGCTCCCTTGACGCGGGTCCACCATGAGCTGAGGTCGACCCAGTGACACTGGCAATACAGAGAGGAGGTCTTCCTTGTGCAGCTAGTACGTTGATATCAAAAAGCTGCAGATGCCTGTTCAGTCTGCTGTGTATCCGCGGCAGCAGGGGAATGGGGAGACACTTTATGAGCTAGTTGCATACCCTCCACATTAAAAAGTAGGTGTATCTTCTTTACGAGAGAATTATACGGAGGGTAGAAGAACGTGATAGATTCTCGGTGCGTTGATTGTGTTGTCTAGCCAGCTCTGTGTGCACACATGGAGTAAAGAGTCCGACTAGTAGTTACACTTATTAGTTGTCACTCCGCCACGGCCGGAGAATATCACCATCCAACAACACCCACTTACGTCCCCACCGACTTTCCTTACCTTTGTGCTCGGACATAGACAGCAAAGTCTTGTGTCGTGGTTATCGCACAGCTAGTCAGCCATATTCGAATGCAGAAATAACAGTAAGGAAGTATCAAGCCTCTCGAGCTTGATATGATAGCGGACCTCTGACGTTCCTCTATCGTGGGTCAGCTTCGTTTAGATGTCGTCTTGTCAGGGGCATTGTTTATCAAGGTTAACTGACTATGCTCATTAAAGTAGGTCCAACCTGGCCAAGTTCTCTTATCTCTGGCTGTTTTGTGGCTCACATCTCATACCTAGTCAGCAGCATCCTTTCCATCCAGCCTTATCATCTGCAGCCCTGCAGCCAACCATCTCCTCCGATAAGTACAGCTTGCGAACCTCTGGCCGGTTGTCCGAGCACCAATACGAATCGTCGCACGATAATTTCTTCTTCCGAAGCGCGCGAAGTTTCCCTACCTAGTAAAGTCAGGTTACTAGGTTTCGGGAATTACAGGTTTTAATTCCAGTTGGAGTCGACTCGACCAGATGTGATTCGGGCTTTGGGCATCTCGACATCGACTTCCGCGTGTGAGCTTCTTCTCCCTGAAATTCCTCCAATCCAATTGTCCAGTAGATAGGTGAATGACCTGGTGCCAAGCGTATCAGCGTCTTGTTCCCCCGCCTCGGCTAGTCGCAGCATCAAGATCCATACTATGGGGTCGATAGATGTGTATCACCCGCCATAAAGATTGATTGGTGCCGTCTCTGTCGGACCCTTCGCCTGACGCGGTACAGCTGTTCTCTCGATAGATAAGATGGCCATCTTATATTGCAGTGCATTCTCAAGGCAATGTATCGGTCCCAAGCTCACTCAGTTTTGCTCGAAAAAGAGCGTCTCACAAGACTCAGCTGTTCTGTCTAGCAGTGCATGCTCTTTGTCTCAAAACTGTCTGCGAATGACCCCGCGTCCGAAACCTGCTTATCATTGCCCCTCTCCTCTGGGGTGTCTGACTAGGACGCTTAGCCGAGCATTTCGCAAGTCTTCATCAAGTCTTCACCATGTCTGTCTCTGAGCATTATAGCAAAACTGCTCTAAAGGCACCGATATATGCGGATGTCAATCATGCGCCCGTCACTAGTATCTTGCCCGAGGGCGACATCCCTTACACCGACCATGCGATGGATGCAGATGAAAGAGTGATTGTGGCCCTCGGATACAAGCAAGAATTCAAGCGCGAGTTTGGGCTCTGGACCACTTTCTGCGTGAGCTTCTCGGTACTCGGCTTGCTCCCCTCGTTCGCGAGTACAATATACTACGGTATCTCCACCTTCTCCCTGATGGGTCGCCGTTGTGAAGGAAATGGCTAACATGTAGAAGGCATGGGCTATGCAGGAACTGCCGGTATGGTCTGGGGGTGGATTGTCGCCATGTTGTTCATCCAGTGTGTCGCGATGTCTATGGCCGAGCTATGCTCCGCAATGCCCACCAGGTGGGTGCCTCTCCACTGACATCTGCCTAGTCCTAGATCCGAGCTAACCTTGATCACCAGCGGTGGTCTATACTATGCAGCGGCTGTGCTTGCACCACCTGGCTATGGACCTTTTGCTGCGTGGATCACCGGATGGTCCAACTGGATCGGGCAAATCACCGCAGCACCGTCGGTCGACTACGCCCTAAGTGCCATGATTCTGGCGGCTGCCTCGATCACAAACCCTAACTACGTGCCTACCAATTGGCAAACCTTCTTGTTAACCACATTCATCATGATCATTCATACCGGGATCAGCAGCATGCCCACCCGGTGGGTTGCTCGAGTTAATTCGTGGGGCTCAACGTTCAATATTCTCGCACTGATCGTGACACTCATCGCAATTCCCGCGGGGACGACGAACGAGCCGAAATTCACCCCCTCCAAGGAGGTCTGGGGCACAATTACCAATCTGACTGACTTTCCCGACGGAGTCGCGGTGCTCATGACCTTTGTTGGTGTTATCTGGACGATGTCTGGGTACGACTCGCCCTTTCATCTCAGCGAGGAATGCTCCAACGCCAACATTGCCTCGCCGCGGGCGATTGTCATGACCTCTGGAGTGGGGGGAGTGTTCGGTTGGTTCCTACAGCTCGTGGTTGCCTACACGGTGACCGACATCAACGCTGTTCTGGACTCTGATCTGGGACAGCCATGGGCATCCTATCTGCTGCAGGTCCTTCCGCAGAAGATTGCGCTCGCTGTTCTAGCTCTCACCATCATCAGCGGCTTCTCCATGGGCCAGGGCTGCATGGTAGCCGCATCCCGAGTTACTTACGCCTACGCTCGAGATGACTGCTTCCCTCTGTCGAGCATCTGGAAGAAGGTCAACACCCACACTCAGACACCCGTCAACGCGGTCATACTCAATGGGGTTCTGGGGATTTTGATGTGTCTCCTCATGCTGGCCGGCTCCACGGCCATCGGAGCCCTGTTCTCGATCGGTGCCATCGCGCAGTTCTTCGCCTTTGCCGTCCCCATCGCGATCCGGGTATTCTTTGTAGGAAACCGGTTTCGCAAGGGACCCTGGCATCTGGGTCCCTTCGGCCCCTGGATCGGGGGCGCGGGCGTGGCGTTCGTCCTCCTCATGATCCCGATCCTCTGTCTCCCCAGCGTCACCGGCAGCGACCTGACGCCCGATCTGATGAACTGGACGTGTCTGGTCTGGGGCGCGCCGATGCTGGCGGTGATCATCTGGTGGTTCATCGACGCGCACAAATGGTTCAAGGGTCCCGTCGTCAACGTGGAGCATGCGATCCACGCCGTCCAGGACCAAACGATCATCGACGGACTGGGGGAGGATGACGAAGTCGTTGGCCACGAGGCAGAACCGGCGCATCCGTCGAGTAAGTCTTCTGCGAAGTAGTGATTGTAAAACATAATTTCTGTGGATCCTGGTGTACCATACCCAGCTTAATACCTTTTCCGTGTTTATATCGACTTGTTGGGACATAATTGTTGATTTCGATTTGCGAACCACTTTTTGGGGAGTTTGACTGAATCTGGACTCTCAGGCGATATACCGCAAGTGCACGAGTTCATATGAGATTCCAGCTTCCATCCTGCAATAGCTACACAGCATGACTGTCCGGTCGGTCCTGATTCTTACGAGACGATAGTATCTATAGCTTAGCAGCTACGGGCTGGTTCCTTTTTGTTTGATGTTCGGTTCCCGGTTATGCGTTCACTCCTCGGATATAACTAGTCGAAAGGTACAGAGCTCACTCACGAGTGCGCTCTGAGCGTGGTTATGCCATTTTACTTCCAGGCAAGTCCTGTAGAAACCCACCCATCCTGCACCCTGGAACGCGATTGTCTACATGCACACCTGTATGTAGCTACATGAAGCGAATATCGCTCCACCTTAAGGTTTTTTCTTTCCCAGGTATCAAAATCCCAGCATATCAACATGGAAGACCATCTTCCCACCCGCCACCCCCAAGATAGCCAGCCATGCCTGGCAGACTCGACTTAAGCAAGGGTGAAACCGCGAAAAGTGAGACATACAATGCATCCGACAATAGTCACGACGGATAGGACCTGCAATCTCTGTGGAAGAGCGTCGTGCATCGCGGGTGTAACCTTCGGGGGATCTCAGCTGCCTCCGTCGTCGTTGGGGGTATTCTGGAAGGGGAGGTTGATAGGCTGATAGGCGGTCTGGTGAGACAGCTGCAGGTGTTTGTGTTACAACAGGATGTTTGACATCCCGTATGTCTCGGAGTCTATTTCTGGTTTATGGGCTTGGCTGGATTGATGGGGTCACTATAACTGAGTAGATATAGTGGTTGACCTAAGATTATACACAGCACACACCACCTACTTTGGGAGAAGGAGGGTTCTTAACACACAATGTTCTTTGAATATGCTCAGTGAGTTCTGAGTTGGAACTGACTGCTCTCTCAAGTCATGTGGGATTGATTCGATATGGACTCGAGCGCCGTTCGGGATGTGGATCGGGTCCTGATCTATACTCGTATCTGTAAACATATAACTACTATGTATAGGACCCGTGTAGCAGAACACAACCACTTCACCACGCACGTCCTTCTCAGATACTTTCGTTATCCCTCGGTTGTAGATGGTCTATCACCATGGGGTATGCAAGCACATCCAGAAAGGTACAGCACAAAGCATGAAATGCAGCCCAAGTATTCCCTTCCCTCTTTTCACTCGGGTAAGTACTGTACATAGTACGCAGTAGTACATACAAGCAACCATCGCGCAACTACACCCTCCAGTAATATCCCCGGTAGACCACTCACTCCCCACTCTGCAATGCGATCGGTTCTCCTTCCCTACGCACGACTCCACCATCCAAAAACCCTGGACAGTGTCCGCCAAAACAGCACCCGATCGAATGAATGGGCTTGTTCGGGATGAGCGGGCGGGCGGGCAAGACAGGCGACGGGGCGGGCGGGCATGCGGTGGGTGGGCAGGTAAGGCGGGCTGCGACAAGGGGAAGAGCCTTTGCCCATCGTCATTGTCATTGGGGCCCTAGAAACAAACCTAATTGATCCCGGTTGCAGCCCGGAAGGCAGCAGCAGCGGCGTCTTAATAGGGAGAAGCCTCGACTGGAGTTATTGGAGGGGGGGGGGGGGGGGAAACAGTGGGCACCACACCACTCATCTGGGCTGGTTTCGAATTTACCTGCAGGTACCGGACCAGCCCTTCTACCTTAGTTGATGGGGAAGGATTTGGGGGCCAAGATGCATGTTTGTGAGGGAGTCTTGGTGTGTGGGTGTTTTGGGTGTAGTATAGGATTGGATGGGGGTTGAGGTTACTCAGCTTGAGGTATAACTAACTTACTGTACAGTACAGTAACTAAACTCTGGCTCTTGGTTTGGCTTGTTGCTCTAGGTTTATACACTTGGATTAGAGATTCCTGGCGTTATGGTTGGATGGGTAAATGATATCGAGTCAACAATGTGTGCAAAGTGAAGAGCAATACAATCCGGCCGTTATCATCGTCACTATTTCCATCAATGCCCCTGTTATAGTACTTCACCACACCATCGCGACAGTGATTCGTGGTGGTTGTGGAAGAATGCTATCTGCCTGAGGCAGATGGGAAGAGGATTCCGAAGTGTGTGTGCAATGGACTGTTTGTGCTGCACAAACCTCCCCAATCAACGCCCGCTGCTTCCGAATCACCCGTCAATTCATCGAATCCAGGTTAGCGAGTCCAAATCGGTTGAGAGTGCATGAATAGGTAGGTAGGTAGGTGATGAGTACAGTATCCTCAGTCCTCTACGTCATGATCAGAGAAATCCCTCATTGGCCGATTCACAACAGGTTACAGCAGTCATGTTCAATGAGTTTGATTGAGCGATCTGATGAAGGACACTTCCAATGGCTGAGACATGCATACATACATACATTCATAAGCACTTCATAACTATTCCACATACGAGTACAATGTGCCCAGAAAACGAGCACGAGACCAATTCCCCTTCCCCCCTCGATTCCACCCCTCCTCCTTCCCTCACTGGCACACTGCCCCTCCTCTCCGTCCCTGGGTGGTTAATCATGATGGATATGATTGACAGGGGAAAGACGGAGGGGGCAGGGGGGAGGGGGGAGGGGGACAGAGGGGCAGAGGGGCAGCAGACACACACAGGAAAAAAAAAAAAGGGCAAGGCGAAAAGACAAGAGAACCCGGAGCCCGGAGCCATGGGAATGGAGGGGCTGGGTTGTGTTCGCGAAGAGAGTGGAGATTCCTTCTCCTCCATTGACACTTGGCCACTGGGCACCTGGCAGACACTCACTGCAGTTTTTTTCGCATTTCCCCGTTCGTCCGCTCGCTCGCTCTCAACAACAAGCCGCTAGAGACGTTACAGCGATGATCTAGTAGGTAGTTCCACTCCCAAAGGAGATAATAATTCAGCTTGTTATTTCACTCAACTTTGCCCAACCACCGTGATTATACGGGACTTCAAACACATACAAGCACATCTATTCAGGCTACGAAAGACTGACCCAAAAAGTAGTTTGATAACGGCTTCCGTTTCCCGTCTAGGATACCTATTCTGGAAGGTTACTTCGTAGGTTAATTATCAGGCATTGTCATCAAGGTTAAGTTAACCTTGGGTTCCGTCCGAGGTATGTCGGCTACTGTACTGTACACCGTAAGCCCGCATTGTGGCTTGTTATTGTTGGTGTTGCTGTTGTTGTTGGTCTAAAAAGACGGTCGGTCAGTTTCTGTTGGTTGGTCGGTGGCAATTTCATCTGCTATTATTTTCTACGAGTAAGAGAGGATAATTTAGTCTGGATCAAGAAACTGGAAGAGATAGCTTGAACTACTCATTTACTTGTATTTTGTGTATTTTGTGTGCTCAAGGAGTAAATACGTACAAGTACTGTATCAGATATCAAGGTTAATCTCCGTGCAATAGTTACATTATCCCTGCAAAGTTGTTCATTATCTGATCGCGCCTCAGGCAGCAAAAGTTGATGTTATGTGCCCCTCCCCGCCCGCGCGGTGCGGTGGAGGAAGAAGGCGGAGGGGGATCGCTCTCCTCTCTTCCTCGCGTGCCGTTTGCTTGAACCTTGTTTTGTTGTGTGATGATGGGCTATACCGAAGGAGATTAGGAATTGTACGAGTAGAAAAGGTCTTAATTCTACAAAAAGCATTTCCGTGAAGATCCATGACGCGGCCCTTTCTCCCGGTTCTCAATCGTCGTCCGATATGTGCTGAGCAATTGGCCCTGGAGTGCGCATCGGGCTTGTAAAGATTGCAATCATCCATATGGCGGATCGACGCGACCATGGGCCGATGGGACTTCAAATCCCTTGGATTCGTTACAGCTTTTTTTTTTTTCCCCTGGCGGGACTCTACTCAAAAGGAAAGGAAACCAAGAAACAAATCGAAGATATCATCCGATCGAAAGTCATCCTCATCAGCTACGCCCGCGGAGTCTTCGTTGTTCCTTGTCCCTTCCGTCGGATGCATGGATGACTAGCAGCAGTATCCGTAGTAGATAGATACAGAAAGACCAGAGACATAGGCTCATCAGCCCTTAGTCGAAGGCATGACCTGATGTCCAACATACTAAGTACTGTGCATACTACTAACATCGTACAGTACATCTCCGCCATAGAACTCCGGCCAGTCATGGCATCGGAAATGATACTTCGTACATGTACTAGGTAGAGTATCTGGAGGGGCACTGGCAGGAAGGAAGGATCTCTCCGGGTGTGCCAAGTTTGACACTAAGCAAGCACCCTAGTGAGCAGCGCCGCTCCCCTCAATCCAACCTTAGGCAGTAGGATTTTTACTTTCCCTCAAGCGTGACCAGGAGGATGGTAACTAGACCAAACAGCGGGTTTTGGGGATTTTTAGTGTTGGTTGCTTTTGGGTGCATGTTAACTTAGCTTCCCAACTAGGCTCAGTAGGGGAAGAGTCTAAAGCCACACCTGCACACCTGCACCCATCCCACTGCAGGTATCCCTCCTCCCCGAAACAGAAGAAACAAGCAGACCCTGGCTAAATCTAATTCCAGTGCACACACCAGTCGAGTTCTTCCATCAAGTTGTCTATTCGTGGCGATGAACTCTGCGAGGATTGATCCCGTATCGCGACCAAGGAGATAGGTATAAAGTCGAATTTGAGCGAATCCCAAATTGCTCAGCACTGTTGCTACTACTGGTAAAGAGACACTGCTCAACACACAACAGCAATATCGTCATCATCATTCACAACACAATAAACAACCACCAGCATACTCCAAGGCTCAGGCCACTGGGGAAAGAAAGCCTGGTCATCCTCGGTCGGACTGAGAAGGTTAGATGAGGTGTGTGGCGTTCTCGCCTCGCCAAATTCTCAGAGTCTGATTGGCTTCTTGGAGTCTCCCAATGCACTTCCGAAACCGAGCCGATACTTAAAAAAAAAAGTGCGAAAGGTGAAGACCCAATCGAGAAGGATAGCGTGGTCTTTCGGCATTACTCCGGTCAGCTTCGGAAAAACCACCCTGGCCAGGGTAAAAGTGCCGAGGGAAGTTCCCGGTCAATCCCTCCAGGAGGCCCCGACTCACAGCACTTCCTTGTCTACGATCTTGCGGACCATCCCCGACTCGGGCGAATGAGAGAGACGGGGGAGAAAAGCGCAAAGAGAACGATCTGCAAGCGGTACGGTATGGAGTACGGAGTCCTGTACCGGAGTACTGTAGTCTGTAGTTGTCTGTACCTGTCGGTGATGTCGCCCTACCGGTAGTCTTCGCCCACTCCCACTTCCTAATTTTGCATGTTGGGGATCCATACTCCGGCCTAGAGTGCTGACTAGGACCCGAGTGTATCAGTAGCATATCATCATGATTACCTATTTGAGCCATTTTTGATAGGGACCGTAGTGTTGATGGTTGCTGGTGCTGGTATGTCTTGGATCTATTTACCTCACCCCAACCACACTGCTGCGTGTTTTTTGCTGTTCTGTCCCTGCCACGTAGATGAATCACAATGAACTGTTCTTCTCGTCGAGCTGATACTCTCCGTACAGCAAGCAGGGCTAGCCCTGGCCTTTGGGTAAGTAGGGTCGTCTGGGACGTAGGCTGTAACAGAGGTAGCACTCAGTGCCAAGGTGCACATCTATCGCAGCCACGACCTCAACCATCAGACTGACCGGCGAGACTGAGACAGACAGATATCATCACTCAGCAGCCTCACAAGCGAAGGCCAAGCTTTGTGATGATGATGGAAAAAGCAAAAAGCAGACGACGATCCCATCGGACAATTTCTTCACCAACCATTGAGCAAGCACCTCTAGGCGAGTTAGTTCCGAGTTCCCCTCCTCACCAAGGTAGGGACGAAGAGAGACTCGAAGGTGCCGGAGTTCCGCCCTGCCTACCACAGAGTACCAATTTTGTACAAACACAACAAGAAACAAAAAAAGAAAAGCACATACATACACCTCAAATTCTACCTATCGGCTTGCATGATGCTTTTTTCTGCCTGCTTCAGTCTTACGGTAGTCTAGGGCTGGGAAATACGGAGCCTGGAGTACGTACTAGTCTCCTCGTAGGGGATCATCCCACACCGCCTGGCTTGGTCGACGAGATTTGTTCGTGGAAGTTTCCATGAGCGGAGCCTATCCCACCGGCTTCCGCTTGAGTTTGTGTGGAGCACCAAAAACGGGTTGGCCATGCCGCCGTGATCGGATCGCCACATTGGGCGAGGTGCAGGGGGGGGGGGGTTATTGTTTCTTCGACTGGTAGTAACTACTGTAAGTCTGGGACAATGATGCATCATGCCAGTCTTACTCGAATGGGTTGTGGCAGTCAAAAGGAAAAAAGCAAAGGCCGAAGAAAATGATGATGACGATGATTATGATAAGCTGGTCATCATTTGTTTTGGTCTCTTTTCTGTGCTTATTTCCTTGGAAGGAAAAGGAAGGAAAGAGCAAGGCCCTGTCCGCGCCGATGGGCGGGGAGAAAGGCGTAAGCGGCAAGTTGAGCGAGGATGGATTGTTGCAGAATGGGCTACTACGGAGTACAGAGTACGGACAGCACAGTACAATCAACTTCGGTTGTGTCTGACACCGACCTCTTTCGTTCTTTCCCTGATAGACACTTGAGTACTGTAACTACCAATTCCTAGTAACTTACCATTGGAAATGTTGCTAAGCTCGGTATGGAGTCTCACATTGGGGACCTTGAACACTTTTATCTTCCCCAAACTAGATGATGCTATTACTCAATCGATTCATCGACTTCTCGGTGATCGCAGTCGTCTATTGTGAGGGAATTTTGGGTTCTCTCCAAGAGTCAACAAGAAACAGTAGTCGGATGTTCTCTTATCTTCTTGTGGTATAGTGCGGGTTTGACCGCAGCAGAGTAAAAAAATCCATTGCTGGGTTCCTGCAAATTATCGAGTGGTACGTACCATTACTCTGCTCTCTGCTTCCGGTATGACGGCGAACCCAAATCCTTCTCACTACGAACTCTTCGACCACCCAGCGCGCTCCGCAGCCGCCACGAGATCGAAGCAAGAGATTTGAGAAGAGCACAAACGAAAAAAAACCTAGTAACCAAAAGTGATGGTCGAAAAAGGTACGTACGTACTACTGACTCAACCATCCTACCTTTCCCGTCGACCCCCGGGGGTTTTCATCCGCGGTGTTCCGAAATGGATGACTATGCGCTTGATGAGCCTTTTTTTCCCTTCTTGAGATAATCTTGTAACTTGTTTCACGTATTTCCGTATCGTGTAATGAATGCTACGTGAGCGAGCGGTCTTCTCTCGAGCTGAGAAATTCCAATGCCGGATGCCGACCGTATGGGATCGATGCAATGGTCAGATCAGATAGTCGGAGGTTCGGATATGCTACTGCTGTTGTGATACGGAACATTAACTGTCCCCAAATGGATCCGGATTCCACTTGGACTTGCCTAAGGCTTAGGTAGGGTTGGTCAAGAAGGTCCACAATCGAAGCGGGAGAAGCTCCCAGCGAAAATCTCCTGGTGGAGAATAGCCGCCGATACGAACGAAGCCTAAACGGGAGACCCATCTTGAATACTAAAATGACGGTGGTTATTTGGGGCGGTCACTGGGGGAGGGGGAGGGGGGCATGCACTATGCAGATGTTCAATGGGAAGAGCAACATAACATAGAAAGGACCCTCGAACTATGTTGCGTTGAATAAAGGAGAGCTGGAATCCTGAGCTGTTGGCCTGTCAATTCCGAACAACAATCCTTCCACTGCAGGAAATATGATGGACTGAGACAATGCTTTCTGATTCATCATACTTATTGGACCGAAAGGGGTAAGGATACGGTTCGCATCCGCACCACGGAATTGTTCAAGCGCGGGTGGTATTCGGGTTAGTCCTGGACTCGGAAAATGTATGAGTACGTAGTTAGAACACAGGCATATGATATGATCTAGACTGGCGGCATCGGGGATGAAACAAGGTGCGTGGCATCATCGAATTGGCAATCAGATGAAGTTCAAAGCATCTTCGACCAAGGACAGTCTCAGTGACGGATCAGTCTAGAAGGTCCATGCGCCATGCCATGCAGGTGATGTATATCTATCTGTCGTTGCTTCGATGGGTGGCTGTGTTTTGTCGCAGCTGAATCAGTTCTCGCTCAGATCGTCTTCTCAGTGTTTCTCAAGCAGACAGGGGTGAGGGTTGCTCCGTGAGGAGAACTCCTGATTTCAGACGGTTAATATTGAATCGAGATTCGGGACAGGCACTGGAAGAGTTTCATTTGTTCATTTCCTGCCGCGGCTTACGCAATTTGCAAATTGACCAGCAATACGTGTAGCACGGACCGAGGGCAAATGTGCTTTCTTCCGTGTAGATCAATACACACAGCCAGCTACGGAGTAGAAAGTACTGTAATGCATGCTCGCCGTTGAGCTCCCCTATGATACCGCAGAGATCCATGCCACCTTTTCCTCCCCGGCGCCTCACGGCCTGGATGTGGTATGATGACGAAGGAGGACCGAGTGGCAGAGACGCGTTGAAGCCCGCATATGAGCGGCAGCATTGGCGGCCCATACCGTCATTGGAGGTGTGGTGTGTATGAAGTTCAGGATCGAAAAAGTGATGACTGATGTAGTGGCCAAATGGCTCGATCTAAATACTGTACATAGTACTCCGTACAGTACCTACAACTCTCGATTGACATGGATCCAACATGGATCCAACATGCAGATGGAGGTCGGGAAAGCCCCATGCGGGAGGGAGGGAGGTCTCCATCGTCCGCTCATCTTCTCAGGTATGGAGTTTATACTTCCTGGATCGAGATTTGACAATTTGACAGCCGTGGAGTCGAAGTGGGCAGCCTCTACCATTGTTCCTCCCGCCCATGAAGCCAGGAGCTCAGGTTCGAGCAGGATGCCACTCACTCCACTTTCTCGCAATTATGATAACTTTGATAAGGTTTCGTGTCGCCCTACCTTACTCTAGCCTCTAGCTCATGTGGAATTGTGGATGTGCCATGAGGGACTGAGCGCTGAGGAACCAGTATGGAGCCGGCGGCGGGCCAGTCAACTGCGGAGAAAGGATGCAGATGTCCGCCTGCCTCATGACATCAAGCATATTTTGGTGCGTGTTTGTCAACCGCTCAGTAGTACTTGTGTATATCGCAGGATATAGGACGTCAACAAGGGACATTATTCGAATTAGCCGTGGTTTCAGTACACAGGTAAGAGAAGCCGAGAAACAGGACCGTGATCGGAAAAGGAAATCGGAGGGTCTTACCCAGCTCCTGAAACCGGCGTACAGTAGTTACAGAGAGTACGGAGTACCCGTACTTTACATACACACAACCTAACAAACTGCTTGGATGGAAGGAAAGATGAAGGGTTCTTTCTCCCGCTCGTCTGGTATGCTTCAACCGGCTGCTGCTTAAGTTTTTTTTTCTTCTCACCCACTGGGCCTACCAGTCCTAGTTGAGGTTAGTAGGATCCGTCGCCTCCGGGAGCCCGATCTACGGCTGCATAGGTAGCCTCCCACCATTCCGCCCCTCCAATAACGTAGGTTACTCACTCTAAGTACTAAGTACGGCGTATCTCCCCCCCCTCATTTTGTCCTGGCTTACTACTACTACATTCACCTGGTAGGTATGATATGTCTGATTGTTGTACTATAATATCAAAATCAAATATATACCAAGAGAAAACGAAACCGGTCTCACGATTGCTCACGGACAAAACTGAGTTCAACCAAATGGACGCCTAAAATAGAACTCCTCAACCCGAAGATACACCTGCAGTTAAGTTCTCATCATCAAGATTCAGAACGAGTCACTGGACTCACTACGTAGGCTTGACGAGCTCGGCTCTGGAAGGCTAGAACAAGATCATGACGGTGTCTCTCAGTCTGTCTACCTGCTTGCGTCTTTGCCTGATCCCTGATGGGCTACGATTGGCAGGCTGCAAGGCCGGTAACGACGAAGTTACTGCCAAGTATCTTTTTACGTAGCTGTCTGCGGCAAGGATACCAACGAGATACCTCGTTTCGGTACACGCCCGACGTGCCCTTTCTCTCCCACCAACGAGTCGAGTCTCGAGTTTTGATTCCCTAATCGAATTCGACGAGCCAACCAACGAGCACCGGCCGTCGGGATAGCGTCTTCAACCCTCTTTTCTTTCCCCTGCTTGCCGCTGGTGCCAACCAAATTCGATGTCAGATTTCCTCCCAAAAGGATCTCTTCGTTTCCCTGCTCTTCCGGGGCGACCTTTCGGAAAGGGTTGGGTGCCGAAATTGCCGTTCATTTGGCACAGAGCCAGAGATACAGACAAAGTCAACCGTGAATTGGAAGTTACTGGGAGTCGATAGAGGATTTGATTTCCTGATCAGATGTACAGTACAGCGCTGTTGAGGATGAGGACTATTGGACTAGTTTGCAGCGTGCTACTGAGACAGACAGACAGACAGACAGACAGACACTAGATAGATGAGTACAGTCTCCGTACGTACTCTCCGTACTACTTAACAGGGTAATAGTAGTAGATTGACCCCGTTCGGCTCTTGTTCGATTCTCGGAAACCGGGTGAGGCACGAATCAGGTCAACGGCACCTGGGTTAGTATGAGTAGCAGTAAGTATGGTAAGTTAATGCCACCAAATTATTAAAATTTCCTCAAGCAGTACACAGCTTTTTTCCGTGCGCATTTTGCCTCCCAGAGTTAGGATCGTCACCGCCAATCCACAGTTAACCTTCAATTAGTTTCGCACTCGTCTGAGAGTATCGTCCCCCTTTCCCTTCTAAAGAGTGTACCGCCTGTTGTGCTTGTCGGAAGCTGATAATATTCCGTGATTTTGCGAGGTTTCAATTCCTCTTAACCTCTCTTACTGCCGCCGCCGCTATTCATCGCCCCCCTTCCCACCCTTTCCCCCTCCATTCCCGTGACTACTAGTACTACTGCTAGAACGGCTCTACCTTGGGTGCGTTCTTTTTGAGGCA